CACGGCTGAGGTAAAGCAGGTTGGTTGGTTAAGTTATCCGGGACGGCCTGCGCCGCCTGCCCGTGCCAGCCATCGTATCAATCTCCCTCCTTTTTCCTCGGAGGCCCTCTTATTTGGTTCTGCACTGGTTTGTTTCTATAACACTGTTAAGGTATGGACTTATGGAAGGGGTAGAATTCAGCAAATTGAATTCAGGAAGGATAAAATTCTGCTGCCCCAAGCTCTCCGCTGACACCACCTGTGACTGCCGAGTGCCCCCATGGTGTGGTGCACGGGTCCCACCCCAGGCACCAGCGTGATTTGATTCCCACATCAGCTCTGGGAGAACACAGAGGAGGCCCAGGACAGGGGTGGTCTTTCGGTGTTAGACCAGCTGAGGAAGTCTGTGGGAAGTAAATAGCATCAAGGTCTGCAAGAAGTAAGTGGCAAGGTAATCCAGGCCAATTTCATGCTGGATAAAGTGTATTTGTTTACCCATTGGAACTGTTTCCAATAAATTTAATGGCTAAAGGTGCGATTTAATGCTGCTTTTTTTTCCCCCCAGATTTTATGAAGTGTGTCGTTAGCATGCTTCACTTGCATAGAAAACAGATGTTTTTATTTGCACGGCCTGTTCTATGTTGCTAGGGAAATGCAGAAGGAGAATAAATAACCTAACTCACATCAATACTTGCTCTTGTCCCTTCACGATTAGAATTTTTCTTTAAGAAGCCTAAAACTTAAAAGATCAGGTTGTGACAACATAAACTATTACAGTGAGTCTCTGTTAAAAGATCACTGCTTGCAAATAAAAATCTAATGGAGGGCTGGTTTTGTGACAGAAAAAAACTTCACATGTGGCATTTGCATGACATTTTTGTTAGAGGAGCTTACAACACAGTACAGTTGAGGTCAGCACCCAAACTTAATTTTGAGATTCTGGACTCAGTGACTGTCTTATCTCTGATGTCTATATACCAGGACTTCACTAGGTCTCCTAAGTGTTACTAGAATCCAAATAATAAGGCTTATGTTTTTTCCTTTTGTCCTCCTACTGCATTTGGAGCTTCCAGAACAATGCATTCTACAATAGCGGGGTCAGCACATGTGAGGGAAGGAAGCTGTGCCACTAATGAGTTGTGGTGAACAAAGAGCTGACAAGACAAATCATTATAAAAGCACAGAAGGGGGGAAAGATCTTATTCTTGTGCAGAATCCCGCTGTACCTTGGCTAGGTGGAAAGGAATGGTGTCACTTGTTCTTCTTTTGCACATCTAATAAATACATATACTTCTTCACCTTTGTGCACATTAACTCTGGAAAGCTGTGGCACAGTGCTCGGGTTCTTTGTCAATGACATGAGCAATTGCAATTTTTGCAGTCTATAAAAAAAGTCTAAAAAGTTTTAGTGTCATGCTCCCAGTGATCTGGCATCTCATAAGAATTAACAGCAGCAATTCATAAATGCAAAGTGCAGTAGTATTAAAACAGTGTAATGTAAAACTCCACCTTCCTCTCTTTTTCTTATGGTAGGGAAGCGGTATCTGCTAACAGAAGATGATATAAAGTTACAAGAATTTCAGCAGATGAAAGTGGTAATTAGAAACGAAGTTCATGGCAATAAAGGTATTAGTATTTATTTCATAATCACCGTTCTCAATTTTAGCGTGAGTCCTAGGAAACAAGACGTTTAAAGTTGTTATAATATGATACCAATTGAACCCATTTAAAGCAACAACTTATGTCTTCTTGCAAATTTTTGCAAATCAGCTAAAATCATTGGAAGATCTGAGGCTTTGTAGAATGAAACAATATTAGTTATGCCATGTTGGAAAATGTGGAGAAGCTTTTGAGTAGGTAAGGTGTTTACATAAGACCTGAAATGTTTGTGTCCTTGCTTTTCCAACTTCATCAAGTAGTCTAATAAAAAATATTGTTTCAGTCTATAAATCTTGCTTCAGATAAATCATCAGAGAAAGTTAATAAAAGCCTAATAACTGCTTAACTATCTAGAGAAGGCTTATGCCAGTAATTCTCTTTAATCTACTCTGTAAATTTAGTTAGCTTATTCTTTTAGGTTTTTTCCTTCTACCAAATGAAAGTTCTTAGTGATACACCCAATTACAGATAATGTATGCATAAAGCAGAATATGAAAAACAGGTTCAGGTTTTCCAAACTAATTAAGGAGCAAGATCAGTGGATTTTTTTTCTGATGGGGATTTTGTCATGCTGTTTAGAGTGTATACAAATTCCTTTCTTTAAGGAACATAAATATAAACATAAATCTGCCCTTAATATTCAAGAAAGGTTAGGTAAAACTCCATTTCTTGCACCTGCTTAATCATGTGCAGGTGTTCTAGTGATACAAATTGACAAAGGATGTGGATAATTTTATTATTTTTTGTATGGCAAGGAAGACACAATCAAATTTAGTTTTATATAGACCAGTCTTCTGGGACAGAGAGGGAGGTGAAGTCAACATGACAGTTTTTTCTATATTAAGTAAAAGTACAATTTAAATCAGGCAGTAGCAAGTCATAATGTTAATATATTTTGCTGTGATGATGACATGCTTGTACTGGGGTTTATTTATCCTGCACTTGAGATACATTGAATTTATTGCTATTACACTTTTGCTAAAACTGGTTTGCAGAAGGCAAATATTTGACTTTACAGGTCACAAGTGACCTTTTTGTTTTGTACAAGTAGCAGCTTCTGAGAACTGATCAAAACAATGTGCTAAGCACCTATTTATATGTATGTGTGCATGGTTTCTGTACTCAGTGTTTAGTCTAATGCTTGAAAGGTGAACATGAATAATTAGGGCTAGTAATAAACTTGGTTTAGAAATCGAAAAAGTAGTAATAACTATATTGTTACACAGAATATATAATAGCTATTAGTTATAACAGTTATAATGTGACTATTAACTATAATAGCTATACTATTAACTACAGCAGTTAAACAATAACTACCTACAGTAATTATAACATCTATTATGTGTTCTTTACAAATACAGTTCAGATCCCAGGTGTTTTTTAAATTTCTGCTCACTTTGAACACATCACACCATTATATATGCATACTTATATATATACATTCTTCTGACTTCACAGGATTCAGCTTTGCATCTCAGTCTTGAGTAAGGACTTGTATTTACATGTAGCAACAGATATATATCCAGTAGCTGAATATGTTGTTCTCTAGGGTGCTTGCTTTGCACCTCTTGTGTAGGTTACTAGCGTGGCAACAGCAGTGACTCAGCAACTGCTACAGAAAAACTCAGTTCCTTGCCTGGTTAGAGGGATGGGGCTGCCAGGGGGTATGTGCAATTTTAATCTTGTGTATGTCTGAATCAGAGCCTTGAGGTTACCAACTTAAGGACTCATCTTTGTGCTTGCTTTGCCATAGGAAAATGTGCTGGATAGAGAAACCTTTTTTTTTGGGGGGGGAGGGGGGAGGAAGGGGAGCAACTCTAAGTTAATGGATTACCTGATATATTCCATAATGTACACAATGAAATTAAGTTCACAATAAGCGTCTTCTTGGTTTTCCAAGTCTACATGACTTCACGGGGACACCTAGGCATGCTTGTCTGTGAGAAGCTTTATGCATTTTTCTTGGTGAAAAAAACAAGCTTTCTGCTTCATTGAGTGTCCATGCTTCACCAGGTACCAAGTATGCAACACAGGTAATGGAATTGTCTATAGACTGCTGCTATAATGTGTTTCATTTTCAGATCCATATTTTAAAGGTATTAAAGAGAAATTAAAGAAAAATGGAATTATTCTCAAAAATGAATTAAAAAATTTACTGCATTTATGTCAGACTTCATCTGATGTGGAACTAGCCAGAAAAGTTATTTACAGGTATTTTTAACAATCCAGGTAACGCTCTTTCTGTCTTTTTGCTTTTATTAGATCATCTCAGGTTATGTCTGCAGTTGAGGGCTTGCCCTAATTCAGTGATTATATGCATAGTTAATCCCTTAAAATAAGGCTGTATTTTCATTTACTTTGGCTCTTCCAACCCTTCACAGACTCTCAGATCAAAGGAGAGTCAAGCTACAGGGGCAGAGTGGTGTCTTACTGTATGCAGAATGAATGGTGAGCCACATAGAAACGTCATCTCTCAGCTGAGAGGTAGTGGTGTGTTCAGCGTCATTTTCCAGCCAAGACACACCTGATTATAAACTGGTCTGGACCTAGCCATGGCAGGTCAGGAGGTTTTGTGAATGAAAGCCTTCCCAGCCACTACAATGTAGGAGCTATAAACAAAAAAAGTGAAATATTTTATATTTTTATTTATTTTTAGTGTAGGAGAGAAAAAGTTGAGGTGTTCTAGCAGGTACTGCTGCTAAAATAGAATGCTGCAACTTCCAGTGCTATTGCTCTGTGAATAGAAGGTAAAGTAGCTGGGAATTGTGATGGCAGAGAGCCATTCTATTACTAATCCAATGTAGGTCACTTTACTGGAAGTAGAAGAAATTACATATTACTAGTGCATTTATTAGTTTGATCAAACCAATTTTTTTTTCATAAAATTTATCTTACCTAAACGTCATTGGCTGGTGCAGATAAGAAGTGTGCCTTGGTCATTGCACATACAGATCTTACTGTCTGTTGAAAGCTGTTTTCCCGTGACAAATTCCATGCCCTGTGTGCTTAACTTTTTTTAATCTTTCCAATAGGTACCATGAACAGAATGGAATGACAGCATTACGTAATTTTAAATTTGGGCCCCTCTTTATGAGGCTATGTTATGAACTGGACCTTGAAAGACCTGCAGTAGAACTTATCAAAGATCAGGTAATTCCCCTATATATTTTGAAAATATTGTTACTTTTATTAGTCCTATGTGAGTGATTGGTACACAACACATGAGCCTTGCATGAGGTCATAGACTTGGAAGTATATGTGTTGCAGTAGCAAGTATGTCTATGACATTAATGTAAGGATGCACATTACATGGGTTTTATTTTCAAAATAGCAAAACGTAATTAATTAAATGCTAGTTTGACAGATAACTTTATTATTGTACTTCTGTATAATTGCATCATTTGAATAAAACGTATTGATTAAAAAATGAACACTTCTGTGGTTTTATGTAGTAGTCCTCTGAAATCCGTTGGGGGGTATGATATTCATCAGCTCAGAAACTTGGCCATTTTATTGTTGAAGAAACTTAAGGACTTATTTTTGAACATCTGTAGAATGCTATGTATGCTATTATGGCAAGATACTAATCATGCCCGGTATATATGGAACGAGATGATCTTTAAAGTCCCTTCCAACCCAAACCATTCTATGATTCTATATTAAATTTTAAAAGTTCTGTGCAATAATGTGTCTTCAAAAATCTCTGGCGGCCAGCAGAAAGTCAACTCTGTGATATTCATTCATTAAGGCATGAGATATGCCTAGCCAGAAATGAGAAGTATTGCTTGAGCTACTGTTCTTAAATTAGTCGGGTGTAAGAGTATGCGTGGGTTTGGTTTTGGTTTGGTTTTTTTGATTGAGATCTATGTCATTAAGACAGGTCCTGCGGTACCTGCAGGACTTAGTAACTGATGGATAGTAAGGTACAGGGCCACTTCTTCAGACGCTTCTGCAGAAATTTAGACTTAATACCTCTGGACTTTTATTTGGCTGTTCCCAACACACAGTGTGATTGAAGTGGAATGTAAAATATACTTGCTCATTCTCCTGCTGCTCTGCTTGTCATCACTCAAGCCCTTGTGCTGATCTGTTCATCACTTCATATTGTGATTTGCAAAAAATTCTTTCATGGTGGTGGTGCTTTACACCAAAGACATTGTTAATCAGCTGCAAGCTGTATTTCTGCTGAGATTTTGGAGTTGCCATTAGTCAGTGGCTTCTGCTTGCATTAACTTAGACATCACAATCTGACATTAAAAAAAATTATAGTCACTGGTATTTTAGAGGTTACTTGACAGAGGGACAGTCAAGGAAGAGAGTTAAATGTTGAACTTGTGAAGATGGAGCTTATTCCAGTAGGAAAACCTGCTAAATGCTGTGCACAGTAAGAATGCTCCCTGTCCTACTTTCTTTATGCTTGCTCTGTTTGTATGTTTCTTCTCCAGAATTTGCGTGGCTTTTTCTCAGAGAGTACTTCATTCCATATTTTGATGACTATGTTGTTTAAGAAGGGCCATTTTGAAAGTAAGTACTGTGTTTGCTAAGGCAAATGCATTTTGAAGAGGATGCTTCTGACAGTAAGTGTGTGTATATGTATATAAATATATGTGGTTTTAATGAATAATGCTGATTGGTTTATGGTCTTAGAAGGTCAAACATTATGTAAATCTGCGTAGATGTGAATGAGCTGTGCGGTAGTGTGTAATAAAAATGGGAGGCTATATTTGTTTCATACTTCCAATGGTATTCTTACTATTCTCAGTTGCACGGAATTGTGATTATTCAGGGGGGGCTTGTTTCCTAAGCTCCCTTCTCTGAAGGCTTAACTTCTCTTTGGTTTGTAATTTTGCATAGCTTTTTGTTTTCTCTATCCAAAGTTTGTTTTACGTGGTTTTTGGAACAGTAAGTTCTTCAACAATTTTTTTGGCAGTTCTGCGTTTGTGTCAGAGCAGGGAAGAGTACACTTTTTCCTTTGATAACAAAACCAGACCACAAGCTTGTCTTGGTTTGTCTTACTAGTGTGCCCACACAGAATGGCTACTGCAATATTTAAGTCAAATGCTTCAAATCGGTTTGGCCCTGTGTGTGGGTAAGGGGGAATCATCTGACCTGACTGAAAAGACTTTGCATGAGAAAATCTTAAATTGTATGGAGTAAGTTTTTCCAAGCAAATCCCTTTATTTGAAATTTGTTGAACACGCAGCACTTGGTCTCTTGATGTTTGGGAAATCTAAGTCCAGCAGTTGTCCTAAAAGTTGGGACTGAACCACTGTAAAAATAACTTAGATTGGAGTCTGAATGCAGTGCTGTGGTGTAGTGGAGCATGTGTGTTATTGAGGAGCTCTTAGATAGTTTGCCTAAAATGGTGGAAGCTTTGATCATCTGCTTAAAAGGCTTGCTTTCTGGGCAGTTAGGAAGAATGACAGTGGTTTTGTCAAGTATCTAAAATTTAGTTCTAGATTTGTATGAATAATAGAACAGTAAGGCCAGATGCTGGTGTAGATTGAAAAGCCCCTTCCTGGGAAGAGAATTTTACACTCAACTGACCCGAGATTAAACTTTTTGAAATGTATTAATTTGTGAGTAACACGAATGTAATTTTGGTAGGTGCTTTGGAAGTTCTGATGGAAATGAAAAAACAAGGCATACCTTTCAACAAGGAAACCTATCTACTTGCATTTGCAATATGCTACAAACTGGTAAGTATTTTAAATTTACATGATGAAAAGGTATTTGATATGCCTTCTCTATGTCTTCCTATTTTTTGGATTTTAAAATTTCCGTATATTCCTAGTTATGATTTCTTATCTAGTGCAAATATTTCAGACATATTTAACTCCTAAATTGCTTCATTGTGCGCATAAATATCTTCCCATACAAGCTAATGTCACAAAGCAAATCTCTAAAAAACCATGTGGATGTAAGCACTAAGGAACAAATTCGATACAGTCTTTGATTAGCTAATAGTATTCTTTTCCTGGGATCCGTGTGTCTCTTCAGACTATACTCTGTGCTTGAGCCTCAATTTTGATTTCATAGTCTGGCTTCCGTAAGAGACAAGGCATATATAAGGTATGTTCATGTTTGTCAGACATCTCCCATCCATTTCTCTTTTCCGCCTCCAAGTAACCTTGAACCATTTCTCTAATCGCACCCAAATTTGACAAGGGTTAGCGTTCTCAAAGGTAATCTGTTCCTATGTGCCTGATGAAAATGGGCAGCTGAGGGGAGAAAAGAGACCTAAATGAATGCCTCAGTGAGAGACAGGCTGCCCCTTGAGCTTAACTGTATTTTTAGCTCAGAGAAGAAGAGCATGAACAGAGTAAGAAACTGGGCTACATAGGTTCTACAAGTGTTTCATTAGAACTGTTTCCCTTTGTAGTAAAGCGAGATCCCCAAACTTTTTTATCTTCCTCTCCACATTTGAATCAGTTCTCCTATTTGAAATATTAACATAGGCCCTTCACAAACTCAGTAGGAAACTCTTCTTCAATTTCCCCATATTTTTAGGAAGAAAGACGCTAGCTGAGGAAACATTAGACCACTAACTAAAATTCCTCAGGTTTCTCAGCTACCCATACAATGAAACTGAGTGCATATGTGATAAAAAGGAGTTGGCCTGAAATGGTAGCCCAGCAGTAATTTATGTGGTGCTTCTGAAATTCTTAGTTCTAATGAATCAGGGCTGCCTTTAGGTCATAGGAAATAGAAATAGCCATGTGGTTTTCGTGTTTGGAGAGTGGGGCAGTAGACAGAGCTGAGAAAGCTGTGGAATTTGTCTGCTCTTAAGAACAGCTAGAGATTGATGGCTGTGGTCAGTTTAGGGATGTTACCAGTTCTATGTAGAAGGCGTGTTTTTTAGAAAGTTATGAATGTGCAAAAACTGACACTATGCTACAAGCCAAGTTTGTAAGCTGGTGTTTGCTACTAGCATCCACTGGGGCAATATTTACCACTTCAAGATTGCTCCTTGGTTTATACTCTGCCTGTTTAGGTAAGGGCTTTCACAAAAACCCTCTGCTCTAGCTTCTTCCCTAAAATCTTTACATGGTTCTTTCCATGGCCTGCTGTCAGAAGGCTTGGATCTGTGGCATGTGCACCGGAAGAGGTTCCTGACACTTCTGTTTCTTACTGCTTCTGGCCCTGCCTGGGTTTTCACTAGAGAATCTGGCCCATCATTACTTGGTTAGTGAACTCATAAAAATAAGAGGGGTAATGATTCTACACTGTCACCCAGTTGTTTTAACAGCCACACTAAATTTGTGGGGTTTTTTTTCATTAATATAAAATACTTTCAATAGGGGAATGAGCTGTAGTAACCCTTTATGCGCTAAAGAGGATTAGGTGGAGGTCTTTCAAAAGCTTAAATCTGTTGATTCAGCTGTTAGTGGTAGGAGGAGAAATTATTAAGTTCAAAAGTGTTTTTCCTTGTGTTGTAACAGAAACTTCATAAAAAATCTTGAAGGGGAATATCTTCAATATGCACTACTTGAATACTGGAGATAATGGTGCTCGTATCATTAAGAGCACTGCTGGATTTTTACCAAGTTCATTCTTGGCTTCTTTTGAATAACCATGCCAGAAATCAGTACACAAAAATGTGCAAGGCTTAAAGCTCAGATTATTGCTAGTGGATAAACAAAGGAATTAATGTGTAATCCTTGTACAGAATTGTTTTAGAGGTCAACTCTGAAACACTTCTGGGATGTTTTAAATCACTGTAAGACACTGCTATCCTCTAAGGTAACAGATGGTCCTTCTTTTAGTGCAGGCTGCAGGCCTTTTGATAACAACAAAATATTTTATATAATAATATTCAATCTTCTGGTGGTCAGAATATTTCTGAATTTTCAAAGAACATGTTTTAAACCATAGCTTTCTCATGTGGTTTAAAAGTTTTTTTCACAAGCTGTGCAGACTATTCAGCAGTGGCATGGAAAAGCACCCCTTAAACACCCAAAGGATGACCCTATCCCTTAAATCATGGCGAGTATTTTGCAGGAATGACACTTTGAACAGTAGGAACAGAAATCAACACCAAATACTACGAAGGAATATGAAGGCTCTTCTCCATATTGGTGATACTAGTTACAAAACCTTCCTGCTGCCAGCTTTTAAATTTGGCAGGTATTACTTTGTTTGCGGTCCAGTCAGCTCTACTCGTAATTTCCAGTGTGAGGAGCATTGGTTTTGAGAGTTGGTGGTTTGTGAGATAACACACAGGTAAACTCATTGGCTTTTACTCTAGACTCCTATTGAAAATATTCCCAGTAATAATGGAAGCTTTCTGTATTGGAAAACAGGCAAGTGTATAAGCTATTGTTTCCAAAGTACATATTCTAATAAGTCTTGCAAGATTTAATCTATAAGAGGCTAAAAATCGCTGAATGTTCAAATTTGCACATACACAGATTTCTTTAGTGTAATGGTGCTGAGTAGTTAAACACTTAGAAAACATTGATTCTCATTAACTATCTAATGTAGCTTTTAGAATAAATTCAGCTTTCTTCCTGATTTGGGAATGATTGGAAAATGGAAAGGAAAGTGTCTGTTGGTTGTAGCATACTGCCGGGGTTGTTTTATCTCTGTTAGAAGCCAAAACAGATAGGGCAAGACGTAGTTGTTAAAATCATGGAAGTTATTTTTACCCTATTCTGAACTCTGTACCTTTGAGTGTCATATTTTGATGTTGCGTTTCTTGGGAAGTGCTGCACAGAACCTGCTTGGGTTGAGTTCAGGTATGGATTGCCTTGGTGATCTTACAGTATGTTGACTTCTGAATGCCTTCTGAATGTGATTGCAATTGCTTACAGTCCTTTCAGATCACAAGAATACCAGGTGCAACTTAGATTTAAAATTTCTATGCAGGACAACCTGGAGTCGTGCAAAATCTCTGGCAAACTGCTTGAAGAAGCACAGCTAAAAGGCGACACGTTACCACTGCGAGCGTTCTGCTTTGCTGTGGCAACTGCTCTGAAGCAGGTATAGTACCATTCATTCTGATTTGTGCCTGAATCTCTGTGATTTTATTGTAGTATGATAGTCAGTGAAAGGAGGCTAACATAGAGGAAGCATAGCTGATCTATGGAATAACTTGAAATATGAAAACTTTTTGGCCCCTGAAAGCGTAGGATTATAGACAGCTCCCACACAAAGTGAATGTGGAAAATCTGGATTCTAAACCTATGTCTTGAGTCTAATGCACAGGTATTTTGTGCTAGTGACAATGCCATATAGAATATTTTAGAAAATGAAAGAGGGTTGGGCCAGCAGGCTGGATGTAACCATGTTCTGCAGATACTGCTATTTAGTGATGGTTTCCTTTAAATAGAATTAAAATGATAATTTAAAATATTTGCACCATCATCTCTTTAATATGTTTACCTTGGGAGGCAAACTCAAAGGCTATGACATGTATTGCCCTACTGCCTGGAAATGTCCTGTCTTTCTCCGCAACATGTTTCTTCAGGGGGAGGTTTTCGCATACTTAAGCACTGATAGGGAGAGGGTCTGAGGCATTACAGGTGAAAGATTGAGTAGGAGAATAACAATTAGGAAATTGTAAAGTCTAGTGTTTCCTCTGCCTTTAATTTGTATATACAGCTTAAGGAAATTCTGAACCTTCTCTGTTTCATGTCTAAACAGAGGTTAGAAGCACTGTAAGAGCTAGCGATTTGATGTTTTTCATGGATTTGAATGAATGAAATAGAATTGTTAAAATTTTATTACTCTGTGGTCTTCTTCGTACTGTCTGTGAACAGAGACACTGAACAACAGCATCATTTAAACTAATTTATTCATGTGCATAATGGCATGACAAGGCTTCTCACTCACATAGAGGTTACAAAACAAAATCTGTCTCTGAAAACATGACATATCCTTGATGCTGTTGCCGATGTAAAAATCAGTTAAAATTCTTGTTTTGCAAACAAAGTAATGCTCCACACTGTACTTAACTATTCCTTAAGCTGCATGATCTTTGACAGTAAATCTTGCTGTGGGTAAGATGTTTCTTGATCCCGAGTAACAGTGGCTGGTCTAGTAAATGTCAGTGTAACATTTACAGATCAGTTGATGGCATAGATACAGTACTGTAAATGTGTGTGTTCAAAAGGTTAAAAATGCTGGACAGGATAAATACCCACATTAACATATGATCCACTTCATGTAAGTATTCTGACATGTACCAAACTGGGCGTGTGTGTAGATCTTTTATCTTTTAGGAGCTCTCATGCTGAGTGTTGGTTACATGCTTCCTTTCCCTGCTGATCTGAGGCAGGGAGTACTGTCTGATGTGCTAAGGAGCCAGATGACATGGGAACTCCAGCGTGGGGTGTTCCTTTCACAGGCTGGATGCTGTTTGGAGTCTATGGGTCTTGGTGAAGGGGTTCTAGATGCTGCTTTGGGATTTACTGAAAAGTTGTGATAGACTGTTGTTTTTCTTGAACTTTTATTGTGGAAGTGTGTCACACATGTTTAAATGTATTCTTTTTTATTATTTATAATTCCTTCCTAGAATGATGTAGCGCAAGCCAAATTTTATTGTTCCCAGATAACGAAAACAGAGAACAAACTATACAATAATCTTGAAGTAAGTATGCTTGCTTTGTATTAGAATCTTGCAGAGAAGTATTCTATACTGTACAAAAAAATCCCATGTGCAAAGTAACAAAAGTGTGCTGGGTGTCCCTCCCCCTGCACCCCCCCCCAAAAAGGAACCCAGATGTCTGGGTGCTCCCCACCCCCTGAACAGGGGACCCAGGCATGCAGGTACACAGGCTTGTATCAGTACTATTGCTGAGCTTGTTTTTGAGGCAACAGACAGTTTCTGTCAGTTGGATGAGATACATTCTGATTTGTTAAAACCCTCCCCGCATTTTTTAAAATCGCGTCCTACCATAGATGGGAGTGGAAAGTAGACCAGTCCTACATCTGTAAGTATAGACCTGTAAACAATTTCTAATTATGACATTGTGACTTTTTGCTTTCTTGCTACAAGAGATTTAAAAAACCACAGCTCCAAGTAAATGCCTTCCTTGGCTGTGCCCTGCCCGCTTGAGGCCTCCTTCAGCCCTGTGAACCTTAACCACATATGTACATACAACAATTATTTCTTTAATTGCATGGTCTACAACCTGTAAGAAGGTCTAATGCGTGTGCCCTGTAAGTGACTTCTCTAAGCTACAAAAAACCCCGCTTGTATTCAAGAACAGCTAATGCAGCTCCATCAGAGGAACTCTGCCTCCAGGCTCACCTTTTCTTTCCAGGTCCCAGCAGCAAAAAACCCCCAGACCACTGTGCAAATTGATAATTACCTCTGCTTTCTTCATGATTAATGGATTTTTATCAGAGCAGCATCTAGAAATGTATTTTGTCCTGCTTTGCTTCATGTCTTTCTCAAACGATTTTTTTTTAAATTTGCATACTATTTGTGTGGTGTGGTTTTATTTTATTTTTAAGGTTCTTGTCCAGCTCAGATCTGGTTCACTAGAAGAAGTAATAAAGACATTAGAGGCAGCAGTGGAAGTAGATACTCCTCCCTTTGTGAAAAAAATTGAGTTTTCTGAGCAGGTGGTAAGTATACAGTAATGAGAGGAGGTCCATGGTGCTTGGCTGAGCCGTGATGATGGTGATTCAGCTACAGAACTTCAAGTGCATGATTTCACCCTGCTAAAGTTGCTTGGGTTCTGATGCATTCAGATGCCAAAGCAGCTGGCTGGCATTATGTAGTGTTGGGCAAAACACTTAGCTGTTCACTTCCCTTTTTTATTGTGGATCTGGCTCTTAGAAGCTCAAATTTCACATGACTGTAGATGAAGCATTCCCTAGTGGCATTAAATAATTTAATCCTTTGCCTGCTACGCTATTTTCATTTGATGTAAAAATTAGAATAAAGTTCTGATCACAGCTATATTGTTAGGTTGGTAATATTTGTAAAGGCCTGGGATGCTATACAGGGAAGTGTGATATGGGAAATAATAGCTTTTGCTATTTTACTATATTGTACTATAAAAAATAGCTTTTACAGTATTGATCACTAAGAAGGCTTCCTTCAAAGCACATACATACCCCTGTCATCTTGGCTGCATTGCTGCTGCTTTTCCTGAAGCTTATTAATGTATTCATTTTGAACATGTCCATGGAGCAAGATATTTTAATACTGTGCTGATAATTAAGTACTTCGCCTTTCATTGTTGCCTATTAAGCAAAATTAGTAACTGATGTGGAAAATAACAAATACTAGGTAGAAGGGGGCCATACCTTTCAAAACATAGCCCATGTATATTAACTGTTGAAAAGAATTTTTTTTAAGCAGCATTTGATTTTGTAAATTCATTGTTGCATGTGTCAATGTTGTGTTCTGATTTTGTTTGGCAAATTTGTAACAGTCCCTAAGAAGACTAAGCATTAGTCCTAACCCATTCCTTCCATAAAAGGTTATTGATCAATAACAATTTTTAGGACATTTACTTATACTTGAGCTGATACTCTGTGTATGGCATACCAAACTTTTCAGTGTTCGATAGTCTGACTTTTATTGATCTGTAATGTAGTGTATGTTAAGTGTGATACATAATAATAATTAGAATTGTGCTGATCTGGAAAGTAGATTCCAGGAAGCAATCACATTTCCTGGGTTTAAATAGAAAATAATTGTGTTAGTCTGTACGAGGACTGAAAAATAGGACTGTACAACTTTGAGGAAGTTTTAAATCTAATAAACTTTCTCTAATAGGTACCCAGTGCATTTCCACCATTGTCTGGTGATGTATGTATGCTGTGTAAAATCCTCTTCTTATGAGTCATTGAGTTAGCCACATCTCTCACATTGTGTACTTTTTTTTTTTTGAGTGATTGCTTGTCCTCAATGTGGTGATTGAATGAGATCTTGACTTGCTGAACTGTAACAGTCTGTCATTTTCTCCCCCTTAGCTGGCTACAGTCAGGGAAAAGATGGAAGAAAACCCTGACCTTTATGCCAAATTAGGAGATATTTATATGAAACTACAAGCTTCGGGACAGATAACCATGTGCACACTAGAAGACATGCTTTTCCAGATTCCTAGTTCAAAGAAGACCCCTGCAAAGCTTTTAAATCAGAAGCAATTGGGCTATCAGGCTGCTAAACCGCTTCGGTCAAATCTGTTGTTGGAATAGTTCAGTCTTTGATGGCAAACTGAACTGCTGTTAGCATCTCTTAGGAGTCAGATTCAAATAAAATGTCTTCTTCCCTCCTCCACAATGAGCAATTGTTTAAGGTGTTTGTGTAAAACTGCACTTTAAATACAGATCATGTAGTTTCCGTGTTTCGGTTTCAATCCTAAAAACAAGGTGTCATGGTGGGTATTTGTGTTGTTCAGAAATGGAGTGATAGAATGGTTTGAAGTTGTTCCTCAGGCACTTAAATCAGCATTTTCCCATGCTAAACATCCTGACGGAAAGGGAACAAGATAGTGTGCTTAACTTCTTGCATTTAACTTGACTTCTGTGGTTCATGAGAAGAAAATTCAGTCTTTGTCAGATGTAATGTTCTGACTGAAAGGACAGATTCGGTCCAGAGTCTAGATAAAAGAGCATGGAGGTGCTTTAGCTGTTCAGTCAAATTCTCTACATGTCAAGAGAATCACAGGAAAGCAAGCGTCTTTTGTTCCTTTTAATGTCTTTTCCTTAATAAGCAATGTATTAGTGTGTATTTTCCTACCAATCAGGATCATGGAGATAGCACGGTAACCAACTGGTTGTTTTCTCCCTTGAAGGAGATTCCTGAACAGAAGTCAGAGTCTCAGAGCAAGTGGCCCCACGTATTGCTTCCTTCAGATTTTCTCGTTTTAAGCCTCCCAGGATAAGCAGATCTTGATACAAATTTGCAACCAAGTCCTAACAAGTTTCTTAGAGCAAGTATAATCATTTTTTAGACTAGACATATCATCTGCATACTTCACTCATATGTAGAGCAAACGATCCTAAAAACAGTACAAAGAAGCTTCGTGTTGACCCAGCTTTAATGAGTGGAGGCCAAATGTGCTTGGTTGTAGTAATAAAAAGCTGTTTGTAACTATGAATCCTGTATAAACAAATACCTTTTCTCATTCACCATCTGGATTAGAAGGAATGGGAAACACCTATGCCTTGGCTGGCAGGTAGTTCTGGTTTACTTCTGCATATGAGGTGGTGAGCCTGTTGAGCAGTCCTGTGAGTACAAGACTTAAGTGGAGTCCAGCTTGGGGCTCTCCAGGCTGGGCCACCTTATCTCTCCTTCGGCTTCTGTTGTTTTTATTTTGTCTCTTCCCCCCTCAAGCAAATGTTGGAACTCAAAGGATTCTTTCTGTGAATTAATCGGTCAATGCTGTGTGAAACTTTGTTGAAGCCAGTGGGTCACTGTGAAGAAACAACCCCTCTGTGCAGAAACACTTCTTTAGCCATCAAAGCAAATGTGGCTACAGCAGGTCAGAGGTTTCCTTCTGAGGCTCTAACTTGTTTCTGCCGTGAATGTGTCTTGTTAAGACTTAAATGCACAAAACTTTTACATGGTGGATGGAATTTCATGCAAGTGTAAGGGAAGAATGATTTGAAGTTTATCACATTTTTGTGAAATGTGTGCATGCTTTTTAGGGGTGGTTGCATAGGTTAAAGTACTACATTGGTCTAGGAACACATCTACTTGTTCTGTAATATTGCGTAGCACATAGTTTCACCCATAATTCAGGAGTACAGGCTTTTAACCACTTTCTTTTCCCTCGGTTAGAAATTCTTTCAACACTTCCAATACCATATGGACCTTTAAGTAGCTCCCAATCTTCTGTCCACAAATAAATTTGATGCAGATTTGTAGAGGCTGCTTGCAGCGTGGCACAGATTAGTTTAAAAAAAAAAATCAAGGAGTGAACCACTCTTCAATTTACTCGGTTAGTACTATCAGGAAACTGTTTGATGTAAAACTGATTTTTCTAGTTAGCAGAAGATAGTTTGACCCATTTAACCTGCTACATAGCAAATATGTATGGTCAATTCTGTGTACATTCCTTATTTGGCACTCTGAAACTCGCATTAATTGCAAGAAGTTGGTTCATCTGAACCTCAGAGTGAGTTGTGTATGTTTGTTTGAATCTGAATTGGTCAGGTTCCTGACTGAGGCTGTATCCTGCCTGCAACAAGTATTGATAACTTCTATTACAATTGTTGATGTAGCTGATATTTCCCATTCTTTGTTCTCTTGACTACTTATTTTCTCGAGGCTGATTTACTCCAGCTAACTATTAAGTCAATGATTTGCTTTAAAGAAACACTATTTCTTTGTCTTGAGAGAGAATGGGGTTGCCCTTAAATCATAGAATCCTAGAATCCTAGGTTGGAAGGGACCTCAAGGATCACCTGGTCCAACCTTTCTAGGTAAGAGGACAGTCTAGACAAGATGGCCCAGCACCCTGAATGACTAACAATGCTTCTGTGGAAAAAGAAAGCAGGGACCTAGGAAGAATTAAAGGGTAGGTTCAAAGAAACACACACAAAATTCAGACAATTAAACACTAGAATGTTGAAGGTTGCTCTGGAATTGTTTCAGAAGGCTGGTAACACCTTCTGAAAGGTGGGAGAAAAGAACAACTTCTAGTATTTATGCAGCCGATTTCAAACAAAGTCTAATTTCTTTCATACAAGTTGCACAGAGGCTTGTTAATCGGGAAAGCTTGGATTTCAGTGTGTGTTTATAAATTTACCTTTAGGTGCTTCAAGGTCCTGAGCACACTGGCTTCTGTGCAGAAGAGTCTTCAGCCATGTGCTTCATTTAGTGTATTTAGGTGTGGTTGGCTTCTGGTTTCCCAGCGCCCAAGATCAGGAAACCAAACTTGTCTAAACATATGCAAATAGTAAGGGGTTTTGCTGGGTCAGAGTGCCTGGAATGTCAAGTGCTGAGTTACTAGAGAGCATTTCTTGGAGACACCCTCAGAGAATAGGATGTCTACTATATTATTGAACCCAGGGCAATAATTATGCTTTGCTTATATGGAGTTTTAATCAAGGATGAGCCTTGAAATTAAAGAGAAGCCAATACTGTGGCTTCTTCATTCAATTCAATTAATAGGTTTGGGGTTGTTTTTTTTTTCCAGGTTTCACCACGAGAGACTTCTGTAGGAAATGCTGCTTAAAGCTTTATGCAGTAAGGATCTGAGGGCTCTTGGGGGTAGTTATATGGGAAGGGATTGCTGTTTATCATATTCAAATATTGTTCCTGCAATAAAACTAAACATGAGTTTTGTGCACATCCTTGCACTCCAGCAGCTTTTTGAAACAGTTATACAGGAGACAGCAGGTGGCGTTTCTTGATCATACTTTCCTACCAACGTGATTTCCAGGATAACTTTTACCTGCAGTGTCAGTTATGTAAAGGCAGGGCAGAATGAATGGTTTGCCCTATGTTTAATGCATATTAAACATCCAGGCATTAGGCAGCAGCCTTGAATGGTTGGTGGTGGGCACAGACCACAAGCTTACACATTTGTAGCATTTAATTTTAAGCTTACTGCATTTATTGAAACAACTCATCTTCGCCAGTGGTCACAATGCAGTTTTTACATTATTCTGTGGAAATACTAATCAGTGACCTAGGGGATAAGTTGCCAATGTTGTTTCTAGTACACCAATGACAATTATAAAGGCTTACTTTGCTTTACCTTTAAGAGAAAGTTGGGCACCTTTTCCAATTTGAATTGTAAAAGCATTCATCTTTACATTCACGTGGAATCTGGATTATGTGCAGTCTTCAAAGAACCGATATTCCTCTGCTATAGGTGCTTCTGCTTGTCTCCATGGGTTAATACCTCTTTCATATTCCTTTCCACAAATGCCTTGAGTCTTGCTAAGGAAGGATCACTTCCTCTGTGCTTCTCCCAAGTTAATTTTCTGCTTCAAAACAATAAAAATGAAGGTGAAAGGCTTGGTCATTGCAGGGGAGCTCAGGAATGCTTTCAGGCCCCAGGAAGAGTTTTCGCTTGTTTAATGAACCTTCTACACAAGTTTAAGTAACTTCTGAAAGGAAGATTTGTTAGAACTTCACAGCACTAGAAAGTAGGGAGACCTATGGTGTGTAGGTCTAGAGCTATTCAGTTTTGGGTTTGCTTTTTTTTTTTTTTCTCAGGGTTGTTTCAGATTGCATCCTTCTAAAAATTTTTATGGCAAAATAAGCAGAGACTTGTTTTATTTTAAAGCTACATCTGTTGTGGCTGCTTACATGCCCTTGTGCTGCCACATACTCCTTAGCAAGTTTGTTAAAAGTAGACATTGCTCATACAGCCCCTTCCTCCTCTGTTTCTTTTCTCCTGCTGCTTATGAACAGTGTTTTGAACTCGGCAAATGTCTGATTGCCTTCTCCCCTTCCAGGCTACTTTCTAAGTCGCCTTATTTTCATCTGATTATAAATTTAAGCAGTGAGAGGGACTAGGAAGGCTTAAAACTACTACTGATACTGGCCCAAATTTTGTCATGTGAAATACGGTGTTAGTTCCGTATCTATCTTTGCTTGTGCTATTGAGGATAGTTGGCTGAAGACCTTCAGGAGCTTTTGGGTTGTCTTTGCTCTGTGCGGTTGTCTTGACCTCCTAATAATTCCAGCAGCCAAGTGCAGGGAAAACTGAGATAGATAGTCTGACTTCACCTCCCAAGCATAGACGCTGGTTTTTGCAAGTACTAAGGCTCTAGCTAACTACAAACCCTTTCGTATACTGTCAGGTAAGGTCAGTTACCAAGTCCCTATGCCAAACAGCAGCTCAAAAGAAATGCAGGAGCACTGATACCAGAGGGAAGTTGAGTTAGGGACCATCTGCACATATCAGACATATGGGATCAGAGCCAGCTGAGCCTGAACTTGGTTTCTGCACAAGGGGTAAAAGCAGTGTGATAGTTACAGGAGAATCCCTCCTATGGAGATGAAGGCAGCAATCTGGCAACCAGTCTGGAAGTTATGGAGGTGCTGGGCAGGCTTGTTCATGCTTTGGACTTTCACCCCTTGCTGATTTTCCATGTGGGCGCCAGTGATGCTGCTGGTTGTAACCTGGAGTGCATTAAGGGTGGCCACAGGGACTGGGGTTGAGTATGAAGGGCAAGGGAGGAAAGTGGTGTCTCCTCAATCTTGTCAGTGAGAGAAGGAAAGGCCCAAGCAGAAGTGGACTCACACAGGGTGTAACAGCTTGGCTGCATGGCTGGTGTCACAGGAAGGACTTTGGCTTCTGTG